AAAAAAAAAAAAAATCCTATAGATCAGGAAATAAGGCATAAAGTAATTAAATAACTTGCAGCAAGCACACAGCAGTTTGAAGCCAAAACCCTGCTCTCAGTCGTTCTGTTACAGTAGCAGTTAAACTGCACCAGCATGTGCTCCTTAGATCAGAGATGTCCCAGGGATGTATCATCTTAGTCACGACACCTTTCACTCAGTTACAGTGAGTTGCTCAAATATAAATCAAATTTATATTTCCTAACTACATACCAACTGCTTGAGAGAGGCCAGCATTAAATTGAATGTGAAAGAATTCAGAAAATCAGATAATCCCCTATCTGATTTCACAAGGTGATTAATTTTATCAATGATTTAATTATTTTATAGAGGAAAATTATAGCAAAAGAAATGGACATTGCTATCCCTAACTTGCAACCACTGAGGCTATATTGTGTCAAAGCCAGGTGGCACCTTCTGGAGGACGAGAGGAATAAAACCAGTGCTTTCAGTGCTGCAGTATGTGAGCAAACGAAGCCAGGTGAGGGACTCGTACTATACCTTTTACGGAATGTAACCAGACTCGAGAAAAATAGAAAATTGTAAGACATTCCTCCTCACTACAAAAGATAGGAGAGTGTCTTCATGAACTATATGAATCAAAAGTAAACTTTCCACCAAAAAGTAAAATACTATACCAAAAAGCTTCAAGCTAAGTGCTTCGCTTTTAGAAATTGTTGTTTGTTTGCTGTTTTGGGTGTTTGCTTGCTTGTTTTAGGAGGGTTTGGGTGTTTTTGAGACAGGGTATTGCTGTGTAGTTCAGGCCGGCCTTGAACTCACTTTGTAGCCAGCCCAGGCTGACCGCAAACTGGCAGCCATCCTCCTGCCTCAGCCTCCCAAGTGCTGGGAGTACAGGCCTGTGCCACCATGTCCAGCTCAGAAACATTTAATGCTTTATATTTCATCTGGTATCCACATCATTCATTTTCTTTAATGATTGCTCTTTATCATGAAAAACTGCATTCATTTTAATTCTTTACATAATCTTTGATGATATGAAAACAGAAGTAGTTCTATTGTGAACTTTTTTTTAATGTGTGAGTGGTTGTCTAATCAATCTTGTATTTTACAGTTGCTAGAGCTGACTGGTAGAGCCTTACAGAATATTTTGAAAAGTTTGCTAGCTGAACGTAGTAGAATATTCACTGGAGAATCCTCACCTGTTGGGCTCTGTATGTCGATTCTGTGTTCTTCCCTTCAGAGCTCTTAGTTCAGTGTCCAGGGTGAACTCAAATGCAAATATCATTACTCCCTGTTGCACACTCAGTGTTATGGAAATACTCTTAAGGGTATTGTTTAATAGATTTCCTTTCATATAGCTAGTCTTACATACATTCATTGTGAGTCAATACACGTACTGATGCTGAACACCCTCTGTGTCTTTTTTAGGAACTTTTTCTACCATGTGGATAGTAATTGGAATTTTGCCCCTACTGGTCATAGTCATCTGTGTTATGAAAATCCTTCAGAGGTGTCTCAACTATGTGTTTTTCCCGGCACTTAAACTTCCTTGCAGTATCGATGAGGTTTGTCACTTTTCTCTGTCTACAGCTAGAAGATAGTTTGATTTCCACAATATATAAGTTTTCTTGGTACATAGTAAATAATTCAGGTAGATTTAGAATATTTTCCTCGGTTTCCATAAATTCACTGTAGAAACAGTCATTTAATATTGTATAGTAGTTTGTTTTTAAGCACCCATTTTTCTGACTGTTTGGCTACTGAGGCATTTGTTTTACATTTGAACTCTGTGATTCTTGACTGTGTATCACAAAGACTCAGTCACTTGGTGTAAAAAGTGTATTCTGTGGATGAAGCCACAGAATGTGAAATTACTAAAATCAAGAGTTTATTTTCATGACACATTAGTTTTTTACCGGACCCTTTTATGAGGGTAGCATGTTAAATAAAAGCACTATATTGCCAGGCATGGGGGTGCGTACCTGTAATCTCAGCACACAGGAGGCTGGGGCAGGAGGATGCTGCAAATTTGAGCCTGGCCTGGGCTGCATAGTGAGTCAAGGCTAGCCCAGACTACATAGCAAGATCCTGTCTCCAAAAAGAAAAAAAAATATGTAAACTCATTATTGATTTCCATCTAGACTTTCTAATTCCATTGGTATGTTCTTAGCTGATTTTTAAAATCTTTGTGCCAAAAAATAAGTTTTCTAAATGATAGACATAAAAAACTAAAGTTATCAGAAAACTAATTAATTTATTATTGTAAATAATCCTTTTCTATTCCTTCTCTCTTTTAAATTAGAATTTCTCTGAACATTCATTTGGAAATCTTCTACTTTCTACTTCTGAGGAACAAACAGAAAAATGTTTCATAATTGAAAACACACAAAGTGTTATCATAGCAGAGCAAACTAATGAAATTGATGAAGACTGCAAGAAGTACGATCCCCAGACCAGTCAAGATTCAGGAAACTATTCTTATGAAGGTGAAACTCTGGAAAGTCAAATAAGTGAAGAGCTTCTGCAGCAGAAAGTCCTATCTCCAGGAATGATCTCCTGAGTCCTCCGTTGCCCCAGGAGTTTGTCCTAGCACTGAGCTCTCAGGGCCTGCACAGAGGCTGTTCGCTTGTGGGGAAGGAAGACAAGCTTCAGATCAAGGTCTTGACCATACAGGCAAGCATCAAAATATAGTGAGAGGGTCTGGAGCCAAGTGTGCTGCCTTCGTCTGGGCTGTCTGATGAGTTAGCTCTGAGCATGGCCACCGTCTTCCCAGGGCTTCCGTACCACTGTGCTGCATTCTGTGGCTACAGAGAATGTATGGCTACCTCAGGTAATTCTGCCATACTGCTGCTGGCTTCCTTTGTTCTCCATTTCGGAGACTGTAGGAGATATTTAGGTCATTTGAGGTAGGCCTTTGTGATATTTACGTAGAAAAATCTGAATGCCGTTATCAACTTGATTTTCTGCAAAGTAACCACAGATGCCAGGAAAATGATGATTAAAAGTATTGTGAGAACATTGGCTTCTGTAACACAGATACCTGTCCTTACATTCAGATTTCCTAATTCATAACCTACTAGAACAATAGCTTCTGATTAGGATTTTGAGTCACTGAAGTCCTAGAGAGCAGTTACTAATTTTAAGAGAAGCCATTGTTCTGTTTTTTATCTCAAGAGTATGTACTGATTAGGTACAGTATACATAGGAAATAGTCTTAGGACCAGAAAATACCCATTTTAAAAAAGAGAAGTAGACTCATAAGGAAGACAAGTGAATTTGATGAAAAAGTAAGAATAATGTGTACAATCTTTTTAGCCCATTGTGTTTTTATGGCTTAGCTGTGTCACTTTAAAACCAGACTACCAGGCGTGGTGGTGCATGCCTGTAATCCCAGCACTCAGGAGGCTGAGGCAAGAGGATTGCCAAGAGTTGAGGCCAACCTGTGCTGCATAGCGAGTTCAAGGGCAGCCTGAACCATAGCAAGACCTTGTCTCAGAAAAGTAAAAGGAAAAATAGTGTCTAGCAGTATTCAGATGTCCCTTCCACTCAGCCTGTACACACTTGAGAAAAATGCAAGTTATTCAATATCAAGACAAGGGGAAAGAAGCGAAAGGAACAAAAGCCTAATGTTTAAAAAGCTAGACATCGTAGCACACACCTGTATTCCCAGGACACAGGAGACTGAGGCAGGAGAATCACTGCAAGTTGAAGGCCAGCCTGTGCTATAGCAAGACTCTGTCTCAAAAAACAGAAGAAATTACACCATGCTTTCCAAAGGCACCCGTGGCTTTCTCTTACGTGACTTAGCATTTGGGATCATCCATGGGTGTCCTCTATCAGCAGGAAGTCTAGGAATCCTGGTGGCCTCTAGGACAGAGTTCTCCCTCCAGTGACTGCAGGAGGGACCCGAGAAGTTGTGAAGGCATGTTGGGGAGGAAGATGACCAAGGCCAACACCTCTGCCGAGGTGGCACAGTCATCCTGGTGGAAGGGAAGGTTGGGGTGCCACAGTGCTCCGCTCCTCCTGGGTGCAGACACAGGTGTGCAGACCACAGGTGTTCCTGACCTGCTGCCGGCTTCCAGAGTCATCCAGCACACAGGAGGTGGGGTCCTGTGGAGACCCGCCCTGCTGGGGACCCCTGCAGTGACCCCCAAGCGCAGCTCCTCTGCTGCTGCGCATGGTAATGGCCCTGTCATCCCGGAAGGGGCCACTGAAGAGGGGACAATCGGGAACAGCTCGTGACCCCTGTCAGCACTGCCTCTCAGTGATCTTGCCTCGCACTCGCTGCATCCCTCTGGGCAGCCTAAAACCAAACAGCCTTGTAGGATGTGGAGAGGGAAACCCCACACCGTAACAGTAAAAGGTGCCAGTGAAACTGTAGGTCCCCAAGCTGTGGGAATGCAAGCCTTTGGGTTTGAACCCACCGTGGTTTTCCACAAACCTGATGGCAACAGAAAGAAAGGATAGCAGACGGGTTCTGTTTTGCCTTGTATTCCGAGTTCCTTTCTAACTGCACAGTGCTCTTCAGAAGGATGTGCTGCTTAGTTTTAAGAGAGTATTTCTTCTGAACAGTAGTTTGTTCTTAGAAATACCATGAATTTGGGGGCATCAGTAAACTGCCTGAAAATTATAGTGCTGGTAGTTTCTAGGGACAGGCTGTTTTGAGGATTTATATGACGAACATGCTAAACTGTTAATATGAAACGGACATGGGCCGATAGCACGTATATAGATATGCTCATACTTAAGATGTGGGCCTTACTGTAGTGGCACAGCCATAAAAGTACTTATTAATACAGATTCTGATTAGAAATGCTGCTCAGAGCTATGAACTTTAAGAGTCTGACCAAAAATTTGCAACCTGTAAAACAATTTATAAATATAATTTAGGGCCAGGGATTTAGCACAGTGGCATTGCCACCTCCCTCATAAGCACAAGGTTGTAAGTTTGATCCCTGCTATAAAAAACAACAACAACAAAAATATAATTTAGGTCTGGCAAGATAGTGCATACTAGTAGTCCCAGCTACTCTGGAAGCTGAGGCAGGAAGATCATTTAAACCCACAAGTTCAAAACTGGCCAGGGAAACAGCATGAGCCTTTTTCAAAAACAAAAAAATCTAGAGCTGGAGCTCAGTGGTAGAATGCTTTCCTAGCATGCACAAAGCCCTGGGTTCAATACCTATTTCTGGAGGGACAATATTTAAGTTTGTAGCTTTCTCCCCTAAGAGAGACGACATGTAAAGCAGCCTCAACTGCTCTTCAGGAGTTGGTGGTCTGTGAAAGTCTCCCCCAACCCTGCGACTGCCTGACAAGCTGTGTGTTATGTTATATGTCTGTCTTCTTCCTAGAGCAGCAGCTCTGTGAGGGCAGGGGCCCCCCTCAGTCACCTCTGTGTCCCCAGCACCTGTGGCAGGGCTGCTGCACCGAGAAGGTGCTCAGGAAGTCAGGATACATGAGTGGGATCCAAAATGGGCACCAGGTGCATATTTCTGAAACGTGTGTGTGTTCTTGGCTTATTGAAGGACATAGCCAAATTTTCATTGTTGCTATGCAACATATTTGGGTCTTGTTTGATTTGTATTTTTGTCTTAAGTTTTTACTATTGTAAACAATTTTATGTAATAAACACTGGACCAAAAATTCAAAAAAAAAAAAAAAGAAAAAAAAGAAATAAACATACATATATATAGTTTTTGTTCCAATACCTGGCACATGTCTTGGTATACACAGAATGGACAAATGCAACTCTATGTATCTTAGAAATAAGAGGACACTGTAAGATTTTTCATTTTCATTTTTTATAAACTTGTATTTTATATTAGGTATTATTCTTTGGAACAACCTTTTCATGCTGAAATTTTATTACATATATAATCTGAGTCAAGTTTTACTTCTACCCAATGCAATTAGTGCTTTGCCAAGTCACTAATTACTAAATTAGCAAAACAGCTTGTTTAAATCAAATTATTGATGGAAGTTAAGGTAAGGAACAGCAATGTCAAAGCAGCATTGATCTGAATGACAGACAAACATGCCATGTTTAACCTTCAAGCTCAAATCACACCATTAGAAAATCCACTATTGATGCTAACTGGGAGGAGGAGAAAAATCAAATAATCTATTTGCTGAGTAGCAAAAAAAAAAAAAAAATCAGCATTATTGGGCAGCGATACTATTCAAATGAATTGTGTAACACAATATAGAGCCCATGAAGCCAAAAGGACAAGGTCTTTAAGAGGTGAACATTACTTTCACACCTCAGACTGAGTGGGTAACCAGTAGCCACCAAGCCTCTCCTGATTGCCAGGCCCTGCCCCTGTGTGATGGAATGGAATGACTCTGGAGGGCCCCATACTAGGAGATGCTGGGATAGTGGCAGGGATTATCATTTTATTGGCCTTGGAGGAGAAAGAGTTTTTCTTTTAGATTTTAGAAATATAATCAAAAGGTTATTAACAATTAATTCTTTTTTTGTTTTTTTGGTTTTTTTTTTGGTCCCGGGGATTGAACTCAGGTCCTTGCACTTGCAAGGCAGGCCACCAAACTGCTGAGCTAAATCCCTGGCCCAGCAATTAATTCTTAAATGACCAGAGATTACCTTTGATTTCAGTTATCTACCTTGAGAACTTCTGTTCTCCTCTAATTTAACCTTAAGGTGAAGAGGACTTTTCTCTTTAAATGCCAATGGAACTAGAAATAAATGTCAATCATATTACATTGATCAGAATGTTGGGAAAGTAGAGCAAATAGATAATAACAGATCAAGGACACAGACCCAAGAATAAGTAGATGTGACTAAGGAGATGTAATTGCCAGTGAATTGGAAGCTCATTGGCAGCAGGCATATCATAAAGACTAGATTAATTGGTTAGAGATGCACTCCATAATCTCTGTTATGTTGTAGACTTCTGAAGAGTTGTAACATAAAGCTGGAATCTGGAGGCTTGTGTAATAGTTAATTTTTGTGCCAATTTGACTAGACTATTTGGTGTCTTGACATCTGGCCATTTTGGTATGCTTATGAGGATATTTTAGAATGAGATTAACATTTTGCGGGGGTTACCAGGGATTGAACTCGGGTCCTTGTGCTTGCAAGGCAGGCCACCGAACTGCTGAGCTAAATCCCTGGCCCAAGATTAACATTTTAATGTTGGGTTAGACAAATCAGATTATCCTCCACATGAAATGTGGATGTGTCCAATATAGTTAGTTGAGGATGTGAATTAAAGAGAGGATTGATCCTGTAGGTTTGGGGGAATTGCTCCCTGATTGTTTACATGAAAAACATTGGTCTCTTTCTTCCTTCAAACTCAAATGACCCTTTTTAGATTTGAGCTCACTAGCTTTTAGGCTGTAAGCCAGCCCTTGATTCACTGCTTCTCAGGCCTTACCACTTGGTCTAGAACCATACCACTGTCTCTGTGGTGTCCAGGTTGCTAACTACAGATCTTAGAACTTCTTAGCTTCCATATTCCTCATAATAAATCTATTTCTTTGGAAGGCCCTAACACAGAATGACTCCAAAGATTATCCTATAAGAGCCGATATGAAAATAATACCAAGATCCTTTAGCCATACCAGCCTGCCTTCACACCGTGAGTTGCACAATACTATCTCATAATCTCCACAACTATGATTGTAATAGCTGTTATTGTCATTACAGATGGGAAAACTGGAAATCCAAGCAGCTAATTGACATCCCAGAATCATGTAACACTTAGGAGTCATAATTAAGATTGTATTTTGTTGCACACAACATGTTACTCAAAAACATCTCTATGCCCTTTCTTACTTACTATTCTGCCATTATTTTCTCTCTAAAGACTAAATTTATGGCTGTTTTTGAAATTTTTTGACATAAAGCAATTTCTCCTTCTCTACTCTTTGGTTTAAGTACTCTCAGCAGTACTGAGCTCTGTAAATGATACAGTGCAGTTAATACTGTGCTCTTCTTTCCATTTCTGTCTTTAAGACTGAAGGATTTATTCCTCTAACTGCAGAGAATGCCACTCCTGAGATATTGCTCAGGATCATACTTTTCAGGAGCCAACTTCACATAGGAATGTTGACAACCCAAATTTATCTCTTCTCACAGAACCTGCATAGATTAACCAGTCCACACAGAGTGTCAAGATCTGACTCCTTCCCAGCTTAGAAAAACTGCAATGAACCAGGACAGCTTCAGGCCTCTGAGTGGAGATAAGACCTTGACTGACACTTCAGCCCTTTTTTCTCTTACAACTGGTTTCCTTCCCTTTCTTAGGTACCAGTTCCAAGAGCATATCCTAGCAATCTCCCTTATTTTATTCCACAGTCTGCAATAGTTATTGTGACATGAACTCAATTAACAGAATAAACTACTGGTTTTGAGTAAAGCATGCTGACCAATATAATGTAAAATCAGAGAAGTTTGTGTGGGGAGAAG